TAGTGTTTCCCAAGCCATCTATAAGCTTGGGTAGGATGCAAAATCTCAACTTTTGTTCCGTTTTATAGTTATTTCGTATATTTTCTTCGGCTTAAAAGGGAAAAATTATGCATAAGCTGCTTTTTCCCCCTAACTTTGGATTGAGATTTGAGTTTCTGATTTATAATTTGGTTTCTAATTTACTTGGGTGGTGGAAGGCAGTGACGGTGGCAGCAGTGGCTAAAGGTGGTGTCGGTGGTGGAAGAAAGTTGAGGCGGAAGCAATGTGGTGGTTGAAGGCGACAACAGTGGTGTCAATGGTAATGACAGTAGTGGAAGATGTAGGTGGCGGGGACGATAGTGAAAGGAAGCAGCAGTGGTGGTGGTTGTGTGTTTCAGATTTGGAATATGAGGGTATTTTGAGAACTTGATTTTTGAAAAAAAAAAAAAAAAAAAATTTATTTATTTTTTAATAGTCATCCTCACTTTAAATTGCATACCAAACAAAGCAAGGGTTGGAATTAGCATTCTATTCTTGCACACCAAATACAGTACAATGGAAAAGGTCGCAATTTTACCTTTTGATGGTATTCAATTTAAAATTGTGTACATTGGGTCCATTCTAATAACTCTGTTGCTTTTTTTCATTTTTTTCTTTTTTAGTATACATTAATGGGTAGGACTCAATTCAAGAAAGCCTTTTTCTCATGGCTACATGAATCTTATGTTTTTTCACTCCGTTTGATCTAAGGTCATAACCCCAATCAAACGGGACAATTAAATTATAAGACCATACTAACAAGAAAACCTAAAATAAACGATTAGGGCTACAACCTGGGCTTGCCTAACCCAGCCCAGTCCTAACCCAGCCTCAACCCGAAGCGGGTTGGATTGGGCCAACTCGAATTAAACTCAACATGGGTTATGATCATAGCTCGGACCGAATATTTTCGGGCTGGTTGGGTCGGGTTGACAGGTTGAGTTTTTTTATTTTCATTTTTTTTTTTGAAAATTTATATATAATATATTATATTATATATATATATATATATATATATATATTATATTAATATAATAGAATATAATACATATAAAATATTATATATTAAAGCAAAATATTTTTAGAGCAAATCACTTCAGCCTCCCCTATCGCCTCCATCTCCATTCTCTCTGAACCCTCCCTCTCTCTCTCTCTCTCTCTCTCACTCTCTCTCTCTCTCTCCAACTGTAAATTACAAAATCTACAAGAATCATCAGAAGTTCAAAACCTATATTTCAGTTTTATCTATCTGTCTGTAAGAATCAAATGTTCAAAACCCACGGCATATCATTTCAGATTGTTCAAAAAATCAAAACCAGATCGGCATATCATTTCAGATTGTTCAAAAAATAAAAACCCAGATCTTTCAGTTTCCATCGCCTGCTGTTCTAGTTCGGGTTCGCTATTCGCAAGCTTCAGCCGTTGTCTCTCAACTCTCAAGCTTACCCCCTCTCTGTTTGGAAAAAAGGAATTTCATTTCCTTTTCGTCGACAAATTACAAGTTGCAGAAAGTGGGAAGATTTGTGTTGACGGATCTGGTGATATTCTCGTCTATCCGATAGAGGTCGCCGTCTCTGGAGGCTTTCCTGGCACCGGTGGAGTCTCTGTTGTCTCTCAACTCTCAAGCAGCAGAGAGAGAAAGAGAAAGAAGAGAGAGAAAAAGAAGAGAGAGGAGAGAGAAAGGAAGAAAAAAAAAAAAAATTACGGGTTTTGACAAAACCCAACCCGAAGGTACATGAACCCAATTTGGGAATTTAAAACCTAATTTTCAAAATTACGGGTTGGGCTTGGGTTGGGCTGGGTTAGCCCGCCCAAGTTGCAGCCCTACAAACGATATTCAAAACAGAAGAACACACTTGGACCATTTAACAGCAACTAAAGATACACACACACTGTCCAAAACAATGAATGCATAAAACTAAACATAAGAGTTGTCATGTAGCAAATTTACGAAGAATCATTGGGCTAAGGGCGAGGCTGGTTCATGAGGCTCCCGCTAGTATATGATGAGGGTTTAATGTACGCAGTCTTACTTCTCCATGCATGCAGAAAGGATGTTTCCAAATCAATTCATTCGATAATAAAATAAAATAAAATAAAAATTAGTGGATATGAGACTTTCCATTTCACAAAAAGTAATAGTTGAAACTTGAAAGAATAAAAAGAAAAAGAACAGTTCATGCTCATACACAAACACATACAGTCATTGCCTGAGTCTGACAAGTAAGAACAGAGTATGCTGATTTACAGTTTTCTTCACTAATTGGAGAGTTTCCATGAGATATGCGGGACCTGCATGAAAATTCATAATCATATTTTTTAGAAACTGTCCATTTGCAGTCGATTTTAATCACCTTCCACTGATTTAATAGATGGTAAGATCCTACTTCGATGATTAACCAAAAAGGACTATATTCAAACATCACCAAAACAGAACAGAGAGCATCAATATAATAACACATACATGAAATTTTACAGGAACTAAACATATATGCTTTTTCTGTAATCAGAAAAAGTGTTTTTGTTTTTCTTAATGCACGTGGAGCAGGACATTCCATTTGAAGAAGAGTGAATGTGAGTGTAGGGAATGGGCTTACCTGATAGAAATATATTTCGGGGAATCACTCTGAACATTGTAAACCAACGTAACAGCCATCTAGCTCCACGCAGGGGATGTCGGCAACGATGGCCCAGTACTCGCCTCTGTCCTTCATACACCCTTCTGTTAGGATTGGACATTCCCTTATATCCAGGTACTGAAGCGTGGAAAGCAGCCCCTCCTTAGGCAAGGACCGAAGCTTAGGGCATTTGGAAGAGAGGTGAGGCTCTGGAGCCCCTAGGATGATATTGATTCGAGATTCTGAAGATTCGAGATCCGTAAGCGGGTCAGAGTTAAAGGAAACACAGAGTACTGTTTGTCATCAGGAAAGCAGACCATCTCTGGATATCCACCATGAATGCCGAGAGCAAGTGGTGTGGGCACACAAGCTTATTTATTTACTTTTTAAAAAATAGAGTGCCACATAAGTTAAAAGGTAATGATGTGGTACTCATTTAATCTAAAAATAAAATAAAAATTTGAATTTGAATTTAATAATTTTTTGTTGTCTTTCCAAATATTAATTTGAATTTAATAATTTTTTTGAAGATCTACGGAGATGAATGTTAAAAAAAAATATTAAGAGAGGGAATTATCGAAGATGATAATTATTGATGATAAAATTTAGTATTTATAGTGTAAATAATATAGCCATTTAAAATTACGGTTGCAAGAGCCGTTTGTTAGTGTTTTACTTTGTATCAATTGATTGATACAAGACAGCAGCCACACAATTAAACAAAGAAATTTTTTTTTTGGGAATTCTCCAAAGCCCACTCCGTCGGTAGAGAATTCAATAGAGCGTGATTGTAGGGCCCACAAAAAGCCCCCCTCTCTCTATCTACACTGACACGCTATCTCTCTAAAGTTACTTGCGCCCGCATGCTCTAAGGTGAGTCTCTGTAGGCCCCACTCTGACAGAGACATCCCATAATCAGCATCAACTGAAATTGAAACAGGTGATGGGGGCAAATTCCCATTGGCAAACAACTCAACATTTGGACAACAAGTAATTGGAGGATTTCTAGGCTTTGAATCTGATCGACTGACGGCAAGGATCTCAGATTCACGCAATTGTAGATTCCAAGACTTCTCAGGTTGGGAGTGAATAAACCACTTTCTGGGAAGCACTCCAGACATCAGAATTGTATATCCATAGTCGAACGAGATTGGCGAAATGGTTCACACACCCAACTAACCCTCCCACATTTGGCCAATTATCTACGTATATACCTTCAAGTGATGACATAATACTACTACTACTGTTCTCATGTACCATCACCTTTGAAACCCACTCCAATTGCATGCAATTAACAATTTCGATCCGCTTGAGAGTGGCGGGAAATGTTTCTGTTGGCAACGACCTCAAAGATGAACAATTTTCAACCCTCAAATCTTCAACATGAGAGATGCTGTCAGGCAGGGATTTCAAGCTTTCGCACTCTTCTGTGGCTGTATCTTCTTCGCTACCATTCTACCACAACGTAACCAGTTGGTCACATTTATTAAATTCAAGAACTTCAAGTTCTGTACAAAATTGCATGAGTTCTTTCGGGAGATTAAAAAGCCCCATAACGCTCTCAACATCCAAGGTGGTTAATGAAGTCAAATTAGTGACACTTTTTAACACCATCTCATCACAATCATGTAATTCACGAAGGGAGGGAAGCCTTAAAGTTGAAACCCTAACCAACTTGGGACATTTGCGTGTAGTAAGCACTCGGAGGTGAGGGAATTGTTGTGTAGCTTCTTCAACGCCGTTGAAGAAAGACCATTCCTCCCACTCCAACATATCATCAAAACTTAGACTCTCCAGTGATGGAAAAGGAAATTCCAATGGACAATCGTACTTGCAGAACTCAACCCCAATGCTTTTGACTTCGTGCATGCCTCCAATGCGTAGGTGTTTGAGCAAGGGTAGTTGTCCGACTGGTGGTAAAGATTTGCATTTTGTGCAATCACTGAGACTTAGGTTCACCATTTTAGAGAATATTGGATCTCCAAGCCATCTGGGAAAACCCATGCCCGCGTAGAATTCAACTTTGAGCTTTTTTAGGTTTCTATGTGGTTTTAGCATGTCAAGTACTTCCATTTCAAGTTTTTCATTTCGAGAATCACCAATGTTTTCTCCCCATGCCAACTCTAATTCATCCAGCTCTTGCATACCCATTAAATTGGCCTCCATTGCTTCTCGAACATCCATTATATTTTGCAAATTTACAATACAAAGCATCCCGTGTAGAAGTTTTTCAACTCCGTTATTCTTGACCCATTGATTTTCCGAACAATAATTTTTGATAATGTTTGCAAATTGATCAATCTGCCAATCCCCAAGGGCTTCTCTTGTAATAGCTTGGTGTCAGCAATGTCAAGATGACGCAGACTAACTAAATTTACAATGCTCGAAGGCAGCATGCAGAGAGCTTTGCAGTTGCGCAATGACAGTGTTTGCAAATTGTACAAAGTACCCAATGATTCCGGTAACAATTTGATTGAATGTGTAAGACAGATCAAGGTACCTTAGATGCTTCAAATTGCCAATTGAATTTGGTAGCTTAATTATTTTATAACGAGACAAAGACAACACCCTTAAGCAATAAAATTTAGGCAATAGATTGAATAAAACACATTTGGTTAAGTAAGATTCTTGCCTCCCAAACGGTTCTTGAAGTGATAATGGTAAGAAAGTTCGCAACTGTCGAAATTTATGAAGGGCCTTGAACTGAAAGACCTCATAATGTTCATGAGTGTAGGAAAAGTGGCGAGCCCGTTCAAAAATTGTAGAATGATTATTTCCCTTCAGCCTATCCGCCACCAACCTAAAATATGTATCTCCGGCAACAAATTGAGCTAGATCATTTGTGAGGTCATGCATCTCAAATCGTGTCTTGTATCCACATGATTGATGGAAAAATGACCTTGATAGTAGATCATCAAAACATTTACTGCCAAAATCTTCCATCCGCTTTCCTTCTGATAGCTGCAAAAGACCTTCCGCCATCCATAACAGAATCAGCTCCTCTTTTTCAAATTCATAGTCTTTTGGAAATATTGAGAAGTAAGCAAAACAATGTTTCAAATGAGAAGGGAGATGAATGTAGCTCAGTCTAAGAGTTGGAAGAATATTACTTTTTTCTTGTGGTAAATCCCATATCTCGCTATTCAATATATCTCTCCACCTTTTCTCCTCCAAGTCAGTGTCCAATAGACCTCCAAGTGTCTTTGCTTCCAAAGGCAAGCCTTCACATTTTTTCACTATTTTCTCAACGATTTCTTTCAGATTCGGATGCACATCAAAATATGTGCTTCCAAGTGCATATTGAGCAAATAAAAATGGGCAATCATCATCTGACAACTTCTTTAGAAGGTAGCTTGGGATAGCCGGAACAGAATTCATCATTGATGCCACACATTTATCACGAGTTGTAAAAATAATTTTGCTTTTGGGTGCCCCAACTAGAAAAGGCCGACGTAAGAGGTCCCACTGTTCACGATTCTCATTCCAACAATCATCCAAAACAAGAAGAAACTTTTTTCCTGTTAGGGTTTCCTTAAGTATAACCTGCAGCGTATCTAGGTCCTTATAGTAATAGATTTGGGAGGTGAGCTTTTCAAGAATTGTCCTGGTCAACCCAAAAACATCAAAATCATCAGAAACACAAACATATGCCTTCATATCAAAATGATCCTTCAGATTGTCATCATCGTAGACCAGTTGAGCGAGAGTGGTTTTACCAACACCTCCCATACCCACAATGGAAATGACACAGATTTCATCACTAGTTTCACCCCTTAATAATAACTCAAGTATTGCCTCTTTATCTTTTTCTCTGCCATAAACACGAGTTTTGTCTACCAAAGAAGTAGTGGGCAATCTTTCTCTTACTCTATTGGACCTGATACGTCCAGCATTTTTTTCCAAACCCAGGTCATTTTTCTATGCAGCAATAACTTGTAATCTAGAATTGATCTGCTCTATCCTGGATCTCATACTGTGATCAAACATAAAAGCACTAGGTGTGAAACTAGGACAATAAGTAGGGATGAATTTCCGTACCTTGCTGGTGCTGGCATGAGATTCCTGATCCATCAAATTGCGTCGCAGAGCTTCTGTGGCAAACTCATCCAGAAGATAATCCAAATCAAAAGCTAGGTCGTTGAGATCCTTCAGCCACATCTTTACAGCTCTGTCTGTTATCTGCTTCCCTTTGCATCTGTGATGTTTCCAATTTTTTGCATTTTTCATTTTTTCGGTAATTCGTTGCTGCAAGGGTATTTCCATCTTTTCTCATGTTGCGTGTGGGATTGTGGTTGGGTCCATTTGCATTTTGTGCATTTTCATTTATGAGAATTATGTGGTATTTGGATGATGTGCATTTATATGTTCATATGGTGTATAATGGAGGAAAAAAAAATAAAAAATAAAAATCAAGGTGGGGCCCACAACCACAATTTAGTGGTCTAGAGACCACTTCTCGCTTCCACATTCTCTCTCCCCGCAACTTTCTCTCCCTCATTCTCAAACTTCTTTTTTTCTTCTTCTTTTACTTCAAACCATTGAATCAAGATATCTCACTTAATACTTGGTGATTTTAAAAGCCGTTTGAGGCAAAACGAAGAGCACGAAGAGCTCTACGCGTGTGTACCAGAAATTCCAGATTTGGTACTCCCTTTGGCCTTCGAAATTTAGGACCCATTTTAAGGGTTTTGCATAATTAAGAGGTAGGGGCTTCCTAATCCGCATATTCTTGCACTTTTGTAAGTCAAATTACTTGAATTGTGACTGAACATGCTTATTTGTGCTAACTGTAGTTTAAAATGATTTAATTGTGTATATGTGGTTATGTGAGGATATGTATTAAATGTATTATGTGGAAAGCATGCTTATATGTTAAATCTCTATGCTTAGTATGTTGTTTACATGCTATGAATGATTAATGAAGGCATGTTTCATTGTGTCATGTGAAAATCCCTTATTGTTAAAGCATTAATAGTATGAGACGTGCATGTAAGTCATTGGGTTTCATGATGGGTAATGTTTTGGATAAAGTAAAAAGGGGATTTTCGGGAGAAAATTTCGGTTTTGAGAAAATCCAGTTACCGCGGGGGTACCAAATGGCTAGAGTATTAATATAGCCTAGAGGAAACAAGGGAGTCGCCCTAGCGTGATTGAGCTAGCTGGGCCCATAATGACGCCGCGGCGGTACCAAGGGTTAGGGACACTAGCTAATCCTTCTTTCGTGTCGCTGCGGGGTCACCAAAGGGCGGGTTATATTAACAGTTTGAAAGTAATGATTTTAAATGTGAAAAAAAATAGGGAGCGACATCAGCATGCATTGCATTCCCATTGCATCATATTATTTATGTTGAGATTGGAAACCATGTTGTAATTTCCCGACATTGTATGACCCCGATTTCCATGGTTCTATTTCTTGTTTCGGACTCACAGGGACTCAAGAAATGCGTCTTAGGCGCCACTTACTGAGCAAATTGCTCACCCCACCATATTTAAATTTTTTTTCAGGTCACGGCAAGGAGTTGGCAGATGATAATCCACCTTATGCTTGAGAGTACTTAGGGAGCATTTTGGATGTACTTTTTTTGTAGAGGTTGAACTTATTTTGTAAAGATGTTGACTTAGGATGTATTACTTTTGCAACATGTAAAATATTTGAATTTTAGCATGTACATGGCCAATGGGGTATTGTAATTAAGTTTTACCATCATTTGATCCTTTAACTGTATTTTAGTGAGGTGTGGTAAATTACGTTACAACATGGCAGTTGTATTGTATGAAATGTTGAAACGTGTTTAAAATTGTGTGTGAGTGTAGTGGCGTGGGTGGTTGATCCCAAAAAGTGATCTATTCTATTTTTCTTTGGACAGTGGCAAATGAATGAGGATAACCCAAACCGGTCAACGTAAAATCCCATACATTGACCGAGTTGCGTGAACCAGCCGACGTGTAGCTTCCCACACGTCGACTGGTATCTTGCTAGTAGCTATCTCTCGGTGTACGTCTCAAACCAGTCGACGTGTAACTTCCCACACGTCGACCGGTATCTTGGCAGTGGGCACCATCACTGTTCATAACCTAAACCAGTCGACGTATAATGTGTATACGTCGACCGGTTCTTGTGTAATAATCAATTGTGGCTTATTTTCCAATTTTGCCCTCGCCCACTCACTTAAGTGTACTTGTTACATATTATATGACCCAGTATAATACAATAAATAAATTTTAACCCTAGAAAAGGATTATTATTATTATTATTATTATTATTATCTTTATTATTATTATTATCGTTATTATTATTTTTTTTATAAGACTCAAGTAAATGATTATTGTGCCCCTTGAGTTTCAAACCATTTGAATTGAGGCAAAGTACCATCTTGCCCTTTTTGAACTTGAATTTGAAAATTAAACGTGAAAGGACTATATTACCCTTAAATGATTTTGGGTCGGATAAAGACCCGTTTAATGATCCGGATCCAGTGGATTTGGGTCGTTACAAATATGGTATCAGAGCCTTGGTTTGAAAACCTATAGAACGATAGGTAGAGGCCTACATAAAGTTGCATGGAATGTTGTTTGCATTGTTTACGTGAATACTTGTTACGTGTTTTATTTCTTAAACAAGCATGTTTAATTGCTTATGTGTTTACGTGCTTAAATGTTATGTTAAAATGTTTCTTGTATAGTTGTGCATGTTAAGTGTTGGTACGTCATCATTTTATGTTGAGTCATCCACGGTGGACTTTAGTATCATGTTTTTGAACTATTTTCTCGTTTTATAGTACGATGTCACGGTGTGAGGAAACTAGGGAAGTTGGCCCTAGGCCGACTAAGGGTGATGTTGGCGAAAGCCCCAGCTCCAATCCGGATGAGCTAAATGATGAGGACACACTTCTTAGGGACTTCATTTCCCCGAGAGTTATCCCCACAAGGAGGGATAATGTTGAAGCACCCGTAGAAGTGGGTGAAGGTTCTGCGCACTAGAGTTGAATCGATTGTTACAAAGTGCCGCGAGAGAAACCATTGCTACTCAGCCGCAGTTGGCACCACAACCTACAGTTCAAGTTGAAGAGACTCCAGCTCAGAAGCGTCTTAAGATCATTAAGGGGTTTTCTCAGTTGATGCCAGTTATGTTTGAAGGCAGTGCGGATCCAATGGTAGAGGACGACTACATGGATCAAGTTAAAACTCAATTGACCTCAATGGATGTGATAGAAGACCACTTGAAGATCATCCTGGCAACCTACAAGTTCACCAAGGATGCTAAGCTTTGGTGGAAATCAGTTACAAGTCGGCATAAGGTGGAAGAGATGAGTTGGGACAAGTTCAAGGAGCTATTTTACGAGAAGTATTTTTCGCTTTCCAAAAGATGGGAGTTGAAAGACCAGTTTCTTGGCCTTATCTAAGGCAACATGTCAGTGGCGGAATATGAGAACAAATTCACTTCACTTTCTCACTTTGCTCCGAAAATGGTAAGAGAAGAAGTTGATAAGACTTGGAAATTTGTTTCCGGTCTTAATGATAGAATAAGGCCGTTGATAACGGCACAGTTTCTCAAAGTTTATTCTGAGGCGGTAGAGAGGGCTTTGATGCTTGAGGCTGATATCAAAGATAAGGATGTAAGAAGGGAGCAGTGGAAGCAAGAAAGAGGTACAAGGCCATCTTCAGAAGGATCTTCTTGGAAGAAGAATAAGGGTGGTTCATCTCAGTTTTAGGGGCAACGGTCTGTACAATCCGCTCCTACCACTCCTATGCTAGCTGGGTCTGACAAGAGTGGAGTCGTTTCTTTTCAGTGTCAGTAGCCAGGGCATTACAAGTCCAGTTGCCCTTTGAGATCGTCTTTGGTTTCTCCAACTCCAAGGGCTTGTTATGGGTGTGACCAATAGGGTCACTTGATTCAAGATTGTCCTAGTCAAAGAACAGGCACCGGTAGTGGCAGAGGGTTAAGACAGAGGCCGTCACAGTCAGCTACAGTTCAGTCAGGTTTTAGACCACCGCCACCATCACAGTCTGCTATGTCTTCTCAGGGTTCACGATCCGTTAGGAGGGATGCTCCTACTGTGCCAGCGCAGCAGTCTGGTATTCAGGGTGGCTATTCACAGGCACAGGCACCGCAAGGACCTGTCTTTGCACTCGCACCGGCTGATCCATTGTCTGGACCATCAGTTCTCTGAGGCATCTTTCCAGTGTTTGGCTCTTGGGCTCGCATTTTTTTTGACTCTGGTGTATCTCATTCTTTCATTTCATCATCATTTGCACTTGCATCAGGGTTAGAGGTCAGTTTCATGGATCGGGCATTGTGTGTTGATACGCCAGTTGGGGTTTCAGTGCCATTGAGCCAAGTTGTGCGGGATTGTTCCATTGTGATAACCGGGCGGACTTTTGTGCTTGACCTTATCCTCCTAGAGATGACTAGCTTTAATGTCATTCTCGAGATAGATTGGTTAGCTTTCTTTCATGCCATGATCGATTATTACAGAAGAAAGGTTATAGTCTGCACTCCTGAGGGAGATTGTTTCTTTTTCATGGGAGATCGGAGTGATTCCCAGCCTTCATCATTGTATGAAATTTGAGAATGAATTTGTGGAGATTACTTCTTGGTTAGTCTTCTAGCCAAAGAAGAGGATGTTGTGGGAGAAGACTATCCGGAGGTAGTTCACGATTTTCTCGATGTGTTTCCAGAGGATTTGATAGAGTTGCCTCCACACCGAGAAGTGGAGTTTACTATTGACTTGATGCCCGGTACCATACCGATTTCTATAGCACTATACCGTATGGCACCAGTTGAGTTAGAAGAGTTGAAGAAACAGCTTAATGATTTGAGGATGAAAGGTTTCATCTGACCGAGTGTGTCACCGTGGGGCGCACCAGTCTTGTTTGCTAAAAAGAAATATGGTTTTTTGAGGTTGTTCATTGATTATCGGAAGTTGAATCATGCCACCATCAAGAACAAGTGTCCTTTACCAAGGATAGATGATCTATTTGATCAGTTGAAGGGAGCCAGTTGTTTCTCGAAGATTGATTTGAGGTCTGGCTACTATTAGTTACGGGTTAGGGATGAGAATATCCCGAAGACAGTGTTCTGTACACGGTATTGACACTATGAGTTCCTTGTTATGCCTTTTGGCTTGACTAATGCGCCAGCGGCATTCATGGACTTGGTGAACAATGTCTTTCACGATTACTTGGACCAGTTTGTGGTAGTTTTCGTGGATGACATTCTTATGTACTCGTGGACTCAAGAGGAACACGAGATCCATTTGAGT